CACACACACACACACACACAAGTACGCCTGCGGAAGACGAACGGGTCGCTTCGTGACGGTCTGAAAATTTGGGAATGCAAAGAAGGAAAGGGAGAGCTCCGACGGACATGTAAAACAGTTGCTGTGAGGCTGCAGAGGGTGATGGCGGCTAGCCAAGTACAGTACTCAAAGGTTCAAAGGCGCAAACCAAAGATCACCTTGCCTACGTACACAACAATTAATCTCTCGCTTTCTATCTCCTTCTTCTCTCCCCACTTGTTTTCTCTTTCTGTCCTTTGGCGAGGTAGCTGCAGGGACCATGCCATCTCACACGAAGCGTGCCATGGCGCAACGGGTGGCGAGGAAAGAGCGGCAGGCGCTGCAGCACGGGCGGCGCGCCAAGCAGAGTCGTAACGGCAAAGCGCAGCAGCAGCACCACCACCACCACCAGCAGCAGCAGCAGACGTACCAGCAGCGCGGCCGCCAATACGCCAACACCTATGACGCGGCAAACCCATTGGACCAACAGCTCTTTGATTACATCATCGTTGTGGATGTCGAGGCGACCTGCGAACGGGACGGCACAAACTACCCCCACGAGATCATCGAGCTGCCCGGCGTGCTGATTGACGTGCGTCGTGGCCTCGTTGACACGAAGCGCTCCTTTCGCTCCTACGTGAAGCCGTGGCGTAACCCTGTGCTTTCGGACTTCTGCAAGTCTCTGACGGGTATCACGCAGGAGGATGTTGACAAGGCGCCTGGTCTACCGGAGGTGGTGGAGCGGTTCACGCGGTGGTACCGCGAGACGATTCCCATCGGCGCCAAGGTCGCCTTTGCCGCGGACGGCCCGTGGGACTTCAAGAGGTTCATCTACGAGTGTTCCATTCTGCGCGACCACGTGGGATTTCCCGGCATCTTCTACGAGTACCTCGACATACGCACGACCTTTGCCCACAATTTCAACCGCGGTGCGCCCATCAAGCTGGATTCGATGCTGCGGCGCATGCGGCTGCAGTTCGTCGGCCGCCCCCACTGCGGCTTCGACGACGCGACGAATATTGCACGTCTCGCCGTGGCGATGATGCGGGAAGGATGCATCTTCAACTTCCTCATCGCCATCCCGATGGAGGACGACTATCACTACGCGCTCGACGGCTACCCGCTTTACCGCCGCGAGGAGGGCAGTGGCAGGCTTGACCCCGACGTTGTGGACGACATAGCGAAGCAGTGCTACGGTATGGAGTACTTCCGCTTCGGCGAGAAACACAAAGCGGCTGTGCAGAAGTACCGCGAGGCGAACCCGCACAAGTTTCGCGGCGCCGCACTGAAGCAGATGGAGGAGCACCTGCACCGTGGCCGGCAGGCCGTTCGGTGTCGCCTGGTGGCGGTGTGCGTGCTGGCGGTGGTGGCCGTGGCGATGCTGACGGTGTTGGTCTACGCGAGGATGTCGAAATGGTGGCGACTACAGTGAGGGCAGCGAGTTTGTGGGTTTTTTTTTTTGCTGGGTGGTCCGGTTTGTACGCCGAGGCAAGTGGCGTGGCGCTTCTCTCCTTGTGTGCGTGTGTGACGACTGGGCAGCTCGTACACCACCCCTTTTTTTTTCGGCCCACGCTGCCACCAAACATGCTGACGTGTGTAATAAAGTAAGCGGACCACAATGGACCGGCACGTGTACGTTTCTGTTCTTTTTTTTTTTGTTTTGTTTTGGGCTACCACCATTGGTGCCATTTGTGTGTGTGCTTGTGTGCCGTTGCCCGCATCACGTCGCTTCTTTCGTTCTTCTTTTTCGGTTTCTTTGCACCCGCGCGTGCTTCGAAGGATAGGAGCAGCACGGTAGTACGTAGGGGGGTGGGGGCCACTGGTGCGCTGTGGGACAGCTGCGACAGACGAACCCTCATACAGACATATACAAGAACGCAAACACGCGTGCAAACGGTAGAAACGCCATTGCACGTCTTGCTTTATCTTCGCGTCGCGTATATCTGCTGCAGACGTCATTTAGTCTTTTTCCTTTGACCTGCGCGAGTGGAGTGGCTCGGATTCTCGTGCTCCTAATACACACACCATCTGGGCGAGTGGAGTTTGTCACGGTGTGAGCACGCCAGAGTTATCCGAAGCAGCAACATCGCTGTGAGAGTGCGAGGGAAATAGAGACGGGAGACATCGTTGGGAGCTGCCTTCATAGAGGGGTCCAGTTTCGCCTGGACATCCCTCCGGCATCAACAGCTACAACGACAACCGCAGCAGCAACGACGACAAACAACAAGACGACAAAGAACACAGAATTAGAAATACAATAGCGTTCAAAATTGATACAAAACAAGACGAGAAAAGAACAGCTCCAGGACAGAAGCAAGAAAAAAAAAAGAAAGGACCCATATCAAGCGGAAAAGCAACGAATGAGCATGGACGGTGAGAGCCACCGCCACTCGCGTTCACCCCGGGGGGAGCTGGTGAGCCGTCTCACCAACACTGACAACGCCAGCAGTAATGTCACGAATGAGAAGAAGACCTGCCCTGATGACAGTCCTTCCGATACGTCGTCGAACACCCACAAGGAAAACGGAGGCGGAGCGTGGAAGCCATCTAATACAGCCTGTAGGCGGACGGCCACGCGTGCTATACACAGTGGACACCGCCACGCTGCGAAGGACAAGACAAATACTAAAAGCGAAAGGTGTCGCACAGCTAGGACTCTCGCTATGCGATGGCTCTCGGTGTTGATGCAGAAACCATCGGGTGATGCCGTTCTCCAGGCGTACCAGGGGCAGAGGGTTGAGCAACAGCGACATGGCCATCATGCTCATCCTCCTCCTCCTCCTCAGCAGCGGCAACACCAAGACAAGGAGTTCACCGAGAAAGGCAAGGGCGAGGAGAGCGCACATCTGGCACCCTCCGTTGCTGATGCTGCTCGAAAAGGTGCTGCGGTCCTAAACGGCAGTACTCATCACGGGAGCAACGCGAGCCAAGGGAGACCTCTCCCTTCTCCAAGTACCTTTGAGCCTGTCCCAGAGGAAGAGGACTCCATCCCAAGGATTTTGTGTTCTCTGAGAGAAATTGCCTTAACAGGTGCTTCACTTGGGGGCTTCTCATCCCACGAAGATTGTGCTGCGTCAAGAGACGCTACATCTTCACTGTTGGATACGGGCTGTGACAGTGCAGATGCTGGCACTGGCAATATAAAAGGCAAAAATGGCAGATCGTCGCCGTCTGCGACTGAGAGGCAATGGGAGGAGATTAGGATGCACTTCGACACGGTGCGCCGTCTTGTGCAGAATCGTGACGAATTAGCCTCAGTATTGGACACTGCCTTGGGAAACGGCTGGTGCCTGGATAGCGAGGCGGTTCCAAACAATTTGGAGCCACTATCAAGCGTTGAAGTCACACTGCCACCGTCGCAGTCCACTAGTTCGGGGCGTGCACGGCCGTGGACGTCGCTATATGCAGAGGAGATGTCCACACAGCCGAAGCTCCAAAAACAGCAAGAAGGACAGCAAAATCGACAACATCAGGAGAGACATCAGCAACAACAGCCAGATACAGGCGCTGGTCGAGGTGGTAGTACACTTAATCACAATGCGGCTCCCTTCGAGTCGCGGCTGCATTCCGTCACATCGAGCCCTTCGGTAAGCGCCGCTCCTTATTATTTTTCCGGTGGCTCTGCGGCACCGGTGTTTGAGGCACCCGCCAAGTCCTCTCCTGCCGCTTCTCCATACTTTCCGTCCACGCCGCTGCTGGCGCCTAACAATAATGGTGGTAGTGTGGCGGTGGAGCCGGAGCGAGCCACAACTTCACCAGCGGCGACGACTGAGCAAAAGTCGACGACACCGCCAGCGATGTCGTCTTCGTCGTCTTCACCCGCTGTACCATTTAAATTAGAGTCGCGTGAGGAAATGTTGCGGCGTCGCACAGCCGCAGCGGCGGCGGCACACTACTCGAATACAACATCTTCCACCTACTATGGCAGCCGCTCGCGTACCAGCTGGAGTTGTCCCGTCTCGCCACTGCTGTCCTTCATGAATCCTGCAGTGGGCCATTCACAGTGCCCTTTCGATTATCTGCTTGTGTTGGATTTTGAGGCAACCTGCGAGGAAACTGCTCCACCGTCGTACCTGCACGAGATCATCGAGTTTCCTGTAGTGGTGGTTGATGTGAAGCTGCAGCGCGTCGTGGCTGAGTTTCACCGCTTTGTGAAGCCCAAGGTTCAGCCGCAACTGAGCGACTTCTGCCGCTGCTTGACAGGCATTCGGCAAGAGGACATTGACAGCGCCGCACCGCTAGATGACGTGATTAGGCAGTTTGAGCGGTGGTACGCCCAGACAATTCCACCCGGCTCTCGCATCGTATTTGTCACGGATGGTCCTAATGATTTGCGGGAGTTCATGTACCAGCACAGTGTTTCACGGCAGGGGATTCGTTTCCCCAGTATGTTTTACCAGTGGATCGACGTGAAGCGTCTCTTTGCACACTTTTTCCAGTGTCAACAAGGGAAGATAAAAGCAATGCTTGACGTCCTTCACTGTCCCTTTGAGGGCCGGTTGCACAGCGGAATTGATGATGCCAGAAATATTGCAAGAATTGTTATACGCATGCTGCAAGTGGGCTGTTCTTTCTGTGAGATTCCACTCAGCCGCTTGCCATACGCTGTCTCTACATCAACACCAACGATGACGACACCATCGGCTAAACTACCGAGTAACCTTGACGGGGTAGTTCCTTCCGAATAGTGTTACTTTGGAAAAAAAAAATGAAAACGAGAAGGAAGTAAATTGCTGATATGATGGGGTTGATGATTAAGGCGCTAAGCAACTTTTGTAAAATGTATTTATAAACGGGTAGGGGCTGCCTGGCTCTGAGCTGAGTATATAGAGGAGGAAAGATGCCGGAAAGGGGACTCAATGATGCAATCTCAAGTCCGTAAGCACCGCGGCATGTGACCGTCTTGATTTATCTCCCTATTTTTGTTCCTTTCTTTGTTTCTTTGTTTGTTTTGTTTCTGCAACGTGAGAGAGGGAGTGTGGGAGAGACGTAGAGGATTTGGGGGAGGAGGAGAACCACAGTCAAGGCACTCTTCCCCCCGTTTTTTTTCGTGTTATTAGTTGCAAAGCCAGAAGAGAAAAGCTACGGCATCCAGTATTTTGCTTCTGCTGTTATAACAACTTTTCTCTTTCCCAGTAGTGTTGTTGTTGTTGTTGTTGTTGTGCGAGGACAACGTTTCATGTGTGATTTTTTTTTTTTTTTACCTTCCCTCCCCAACTGTCGTGCTCCGTGTACCTGATGAGTGTGCATGTGTGTATTTGCTCCAATCGTGCCCCATGAGTGACTCAGAGCCGGTCCACGGCTCCCTGAGTGCAGTCGACACTCATGTTTCTCTACCCCTTTTTCTTCCCCCTCTTCTTTGCTTCTCTTCTCCCCCTGTATACATGCCTCTTTGTAGATTGCTTGTGTGTGTGTGTGTGTGTGTGTGTGTGT